TTCACCCAAATGACAGTCGAACTGATACCAATCGACCTTCAGCAACACAAGCAGCACACATCCACGTAGTACGTATGCCGCAATACTATAATTGTGCGTGAAACAGCTATTCACAAATCACATGACTCATATGGCTTTTAATTAACTCTCGTACAGCTCGTTATCATTGCTTATAGAATTGGCGGCAAACACTTCGAGATATTTGGCGTTATCTACAGAGCACGGCGGTGAAGTTCCGTTCGCTGTAAACGCTGAGACTTCGCAGGAACTACCAAAAGCGGCAGCAACTTGCTCTTGAATCACTTTCTATAACTCTCTCTTACGCAACGCGACTATCTCTGCATGGGCAGAGGCAATTTTTGCTATTGCACACAGCTCATGGTCAAATCCAACACCTACCACAGAGAAAAAAAACACCACTGCATACTGTTACAGCTGTAACTGCAATATAGTTTCTAGAAAGCTAGTGAGAAACTCCACAACTTAACCGTTAAAAAAAAGCTTTAAGCTAAACGTTTCTAACGCCACCTAATAATGCATTTTAAGGCAAGTCAAGTCGGTTTTAAGCGGCTATATGGGTGAATGGAGCGCTTTTCCCCTCAAAACGCTCGGTTCACTGGGTGACAGGAGACACTGGCCATGCCAAATCGCGGAGCCTTTGCAGTCCATGTGAAACGAATGTTTCGAATGGAGCGAACAGAACGATTTTTTTCGCTGTAATAGCGGCATGTGAAACAGCCTTTAGAAGAGTGGTGACAATGACCACGACGATTATTATGGACACGGATAGCTTTCGATTCGGATATGCTCCTTACTCGAAGCTTTCCGTTGTATTTTCTGAGCACGCGACTGAGGCAGTTCTCACCCGGGGTATTTTTGAATTCGGTGCCTCGAGCGGGAACGCCTTGTGCCTTCTATGTAGGGGCCACTTCTACTTTGGCCAGTCTCCAAGAGGTCGACCCTGAGATAGATTTATCTTCGACCGAACTCCACGAGTTAGTCGATAGACTTGCCCCAGAGTTGAGGAAAGTGCCCCTTTTGTGGCAGTAGGGAGGAAATGGTTCACATGTTCTCACAGAGCGCGCTACCAGCCACCCTCCATCGAAGGATAGCTAGCTTGTTCGGTCAACCCGGTGTTCCTTTCGGCACTGTTCGTTTTCTGCATCTCCTGTTGGGATGAGTGGTTAAGCAGTACATGCTTCTGCTCGTCGATAGGGAGGACATACCAGCCGCCCTCCATCGAAGGATAGCTAGCTTGTTCGGTCAACCCGGTGTTTCTTTCAGCACTGTTCGTTTTCTGCATCTCCTGTTGGGATGAGTGGTTAAGCAGTACGTGCTTCTGCTCGTCGAGTGCTCCTACCATGTGTGGATGGCACGGTGCTGTGCCGTCTTTGGTTGGAGGCGGCCCGGGCTTCACAAAGTGCTTGTAAAAGTACGGAAGGAGGTCTGGTTCGTTTTACATTGAGAGTGGCAGCACATCGTGAAAAGAAATTTTATGAAATGTGGCACTGTCCGGCAGTGATTTTCAGTGAGTCACGAGGGCAGATAACCATCAATTTTTAAGGATGGCGTTCTCTAAATTTCCACGACTCTGCCTAGTGAGCCCGTCGCCCCCGAGTGTAGCTTGTGTGGTTGTTCGCCTGAGTTTTTCACGCGCTAGGGTGATCCTGTCGCTCTCTCGGGCTTTACCCGCAAGGTCCGTGTTGGTCGCTTAAGTACCGGTGTGTAAATTGTATAGCTCATTTTGCCTATTTTTAGAGCTGTGTCAATAGGAAAGTTTTGGGTGCAAAGGGAATTAAAATATTGAAGTTTGTGAAATGGGGAGGGATTGATATATTTCTAGGATATCTTTGGAATACTTTGAAGTAATATTACGGTGAACAAAGTTGTCAGCATTCCTAAGCATAGTCTTATGAGATAGCAACATCAAAGCTTTTCTTGTGGTTAGGTTCGTAAAGGGCTAAAGGGTTGATTTTTTCCTAGTTGTCTTATCAAGAATGTAGGAATGCAGAGTCCGAATTGTATTTATTTACATAAATTGGCACAATCAAAGTGGTTTAAACAACACTTCACCCTTGAAAGGTAAATATGCTATATGCTTTTTTTCTCAGCATTTCCTACTCTTTCAGCTTCTGCGGAAGCTCAACAGTTGAGGGCACGCTCTTTCCCAGTCTAGAGTTCCTAATCTGCCTCATAGACATCTGTGTATCAGAACATCTGAAATTTCGGATGCTTAAAATCTTCGGCAACCAATTTCAATGACTTTTAGTCCATTCAGAATGCTAATAATTGAATCTCCACCTCTGCCACATGTTTTATCCTCATGTTGGAACGAACGCTTTCTTGAGTCGATACATTTGTGGTCTTGGCAGAGTCTGAAAGGCAGCTTTGTCGCAGTGCCAGTGTGATGGGGTGAAGCATATACTAAAAGTCGGTAGGGGCCACAGACAATTGGATGCTGACTGTAGTTTTGTTTTGGGGGAGTTTGAATTCTTCGAATAGTCAAATTTCAGTTGCGAATCGACTGGCTAGCGCTATTTGAAAAATTTACGAAAGTTGAGATATTCACACACCCCTACTTATGTTTGAAATTTTCAATACTGGCTATTTTGGTGAAATATAAAAGTAACTTCTAATTAGAGTTTAGTTGCATTAATTTTTAGAAAAGGAAAGTAACATACAAACTCGGCACTTGGAATGACCTGTCTAACAAATATTGCGGTGCCTTCACCAATGTGGTCGGCTACAGTGATATGCTGCACACTGAGGTTTAGGGGAGGCATATTGATTCTTCTGAAGGTTCAGTTCAATCAACACTTTGATGCCTGAATTATAAAACTACTGAGCAAATGTTTTCATTTTCCAGTTTTAAACAGTAACATTTGAATAATTTTGCAAATATATTATCTAAAATATGCCACATAAACGAGAACCTTGCAGCAAAAAACTCACTTCAAAACATCATAACATGTCATGTGACATCTTTTGGGAGCTGAACACGCTGAACAAAGTTATTGAAGGTAGAACTTCCATCACCAGGCGAGAAAAAATGAAATTAAAAAGGCCCTAAAACACTTTTTTGAGTAACCATGGAAGTAATTCACTGGAAGAGCTTATTGGCTCAGAAATTCAACGCCGCAATAATTTTAAGAATCTGTCCAGTACGGGCGGAATTGCAAAGATTTGTAACATGCTGCAATTGTCTTCTCTCGTCCCGACGAAAGTGCTACAAGCTAAGCGTGGAGGGATGGGAAGAGCAAACAAAAAGTCACCTGCGCCTCGAGACCTTCAGCACCTTTTTCTTTTCTTCAAATACATGGCTTTATCTGTGTGATCGTGCATGGACAAGTGACTGCCTTCCACGGCGATCTCTGTAACGACCAACCGCGCCATGTTCAAATCAGCCAATGGCTGATAGATCTATGTGTGATTTTTGAGCATTTTCAAACATTTGTCGAGAAAAGAGCAAGCAACTTTTAGCTGACTTTGATCATTCATTGTGAATCCCAGGCCATGTGCTGCGCTATAACATTTGGCTCGCATATTCTTGGAAACCTCTACTACCGATCAGCAGCATTTTCTGACCATGCTCAAAAAGTGTTGCAGGCCCCCTTCAAAGCTGTTCCACGCGCTTCCCACTTTCTGCCAACAGCTACAAAACAATTGGTTTTAGCATCAAATACCCGGGACCAGACGGCGCTAGCCTTATGCTGAGAGCTACAATCCTCGTGGGTACTTGTGAACTGCAATTTAAGACGGTGCGCATTTCACGACTCGCTTGCTCGAAGCTTTATGGTTATGTCGCGAATTCATGACATTCAGCAATAAAAATTTAAATGCCCGTAAACCACTCAGAGGTCAAAATTCAGTTGTTTTGGGGAAATTGAGCACGAGTGTACGATGAACATGCAGCCGTGCAGTAATAGCGGACTTAGACACATTTGATTATCGAATCCGTGACGACCACAGCTTTTGCTCTCTCCTGCGCTTTCCTCCACTGTTATCCTCTCCCACGCTGCTTTTCTCTCGCCGAGCGCCCCTCCCAATCTCGCGTGGCATACATTATCGCTGACCCGCTGCTTGAAACACAGTCTACTTTTGGTTGCCGCGACGACGACTTCATCAATTGCGTGCTTGTTGGTGAACCGTGACTGCAGTAATCGTGCTGGTATGGAACCTGCGTTACGCACATGCCTTCATAAGATTGCCAATGCGATGGACTCGTATGGGTACACGTCGTGCCCTGCACGTGCTACACGCATCCAAGCAACCAGAAAAAATTGAATTGGTCGCAGGCCAAAATATTGAAAATGTCAACAAAACAAGAAACAAGTGTATTACATCACTTCACTTTCATTTTCTTGATGAATACATATGTTGCATGTCTTTTGCATTACAGCTGTGCAAAAGCCACATTTCTTGCCCTTGGCCACTTCAGTTACAGAGAAACCAGTGTGTCTTGAGTTTCAACGTGCTCTGAATCAACATATTATGTACTAACAACAATTTGTACATAGCGACCACACTTTTTCGCAAGCTCGTGACTGTTTCGGCTGTTCTCAATACAGTTACCGCCGCTTTCCAGTACTTTGTGCTCGGCGTGCTTCGAGGATCGTCAGAATTAGCCGGGTCGTGAACAAACACAATTGAATGACAACATGTTCTCTGTATTTTATGATGTGCTTTGACCCTGCATCTCGCCAAACCAACTGGCCCACATTGCTACCGTGTGATGTCGACACTGCTGCATTCCGTGTTGACCCAGATCTAAGTTGACGATGAGGCACTCTGTGTTCACGCTGAAGTATTGCGTTCGCACTTGTATATTCTATGAATCGTATTCCATGTTGACCTCAATACGTTCGGTGTTGACCGGGCTTTTCATTGCAGATGGCCTACTGTGGAGTCCACCTCACAGAAGGAACAAAAACCGATTCGACATTGAGCAAAAAAGAAGCGATTCGACTTTGAGCAAACAAGAACCGATTCGACATTGAGCAAAGAAGAGGTATGTTGGTAAGAGTCATGAGCTATCATTGCTTAAGGCTCGCTGATGTTCTAATATTTGTGCAAGAATCGTAAATGGAACCAGTGCGCGTTTGTTTAAGAAAGAGCGCGATCTATACTGATTTGGCAGCTCGACTGCTTAAAAACAAACTCTTGAAGTATGAGGCCAGGTCATGAAAAAAAAATGTTAAACAGCACTAATCCCTTGAAATAATTAGTTTGCAATATAAAATCTATCTTTCAGGCACATGTTAGCTTTACAAAGCAATCAATAATTTGTTATTTTTTAAGAAATAAATATTTCATTAAAGGTATGCCTTGTGTGAACATTCCTATCTCAAGTTCTGCTCGCTAAAAAGTATTCATGTTTTGCAAGCACATGTAAAAAGCTTTTGTCTGTGTGATGAACCAAAACAAATGAGATATGTTTGTTGAATAGTAACAACCCAGTAATTAAATAACCATAAAAGTATGCGATATTATGTAAGAGGCAGCCATTATAGAACTTGAGGATAGATTTTACTTGTAGAGGTTCATTGCATACCTAACTATTTGATTAGGAAGTCTGCCGAGTTTTAATGAAAAACCTTAATGTAGCAAAACAGCCACGACAGTTCGAGTATGTTAAAATATGTGAAATATAGGTTTACAGAAAATTGACAAAAAAAAATTTGAAACGGGTGCAGTGGTAATACACATTACTGAGGAGGGCTTAAATTCACAATATGTGTTGCCAGTTGAATCGTGGACCTTAAAACTTTGTGCATTTTCTCCAGCGGCAACTCTAAATTTCTTATCAAGCTTCTTTTGTAGCATCATGGGGCTCCCTCATGCTACGGTGCTAATCGTTTGTGAGGAACGCTTTTTCAGTGTAGGAGCAAGGATAGATCCCAATTTGCTTGAAAGTATCAATTGTGATTTCGGTGCAATTATTGAAATGACATCAATTGCCAAATAAAGCAAATTAGGCAGGTAGTAAAACATCTCTACGTTAACCAATGGACACTTGGAGGTGATTTTTGAAAAAAAAATCGTTAATCTAACGTTTGCTTTAGCGAGAGTTTACTGTAACACACACAGAAACAAAAGAAGAAATGCTCACAACCACGTGCATTTTCCAAACATTTTTTTTTCTTCTATATGTTGTAAATCGATCCACTGCTTGAAATACATGAACGGACACATACGTACGTCCTTAACAAATGCTCTTAAGAGAAGGTGTCCTATGTGCAAGTTACTGATTCGTTACAAATGCATTTCTGCCCACAGCCGATTTGCTGATAAATTCGTTAGAAATGCTATCTAAGTTAATCTTCCTTCTGAGCTCCTTGTGTCGGTTCAAAAGTTGAGTACCAATAATATTTTAGTGTTGCTTGTGCCATCATCGACCCCAAATACATTTCTACTCGGCGAACTCAGCATAATCTTCTCGATTTGCACGACATGACTGGAACTCTTGGTGCAATTTTAAATAACGTGGCCATGTCAGGAAGCAGCCCTCTCAGGTACTCACCTGAGGTGCTCTCCTGTGCCACAAGGGGCTGACCCACAAGCGCTGCCTGAGAAAGTGCCGATCGTGTATTTCCCTGTACTACACTTCGCCTCGGCTGACTTTCACCAACTCGCCCATTTTTCCTCTTTGCCTAAGTGATTACGACTATGGATGTTACCTGATGAACTACATGTAAGTGCGAATCGAGGTGAATTTTTACATTGTAATAGTATTTTGCTGAATAGCGGTCGCAATTCGATGATGGCAAAATGCTAGAGGTCTGTTTGATCTGTCTTGTCAGTGCACGTGTAAAAACGGGAGCTACAGTGCCTGTCATAACCTAGAGTTACTGTATGAGAGCTTCACCAAGGTATGCAATGTTGGGCTCTGTCCATATGCAGGAAAAGCACTCTCCGTCTACATAGGAGCTGCTCTCGCGAGACGTTACAAGCCTGTTTCTTTTTTTTTTCTTTCTACTTTCCTTCTACTAGCGATTTTCTTATGGGTTGCCGCTTTTCAGAGCAACTGAATTTCCTCCGATTAGGTCGGGTAACAGCGAAAATTGTCCACCAGACGGGCATTCACGGTTTAGCTTTCCAGGGTGTTCGTTAGAGCTGCACTGTTCATGTCACTTTTGTTGACCAACCATTTCGGGAAGAGCTTAATAGGGGTGTGCCCCTCATTTTTCTAGGGAAATTTTTAGTGAGCGTGAAAACGGGTGGTGGAAGGGGGGTGGCACAGAGTTATGCAGATGGCTTCTTGACTAAAATGTCAAGCATTCCTCTTCTAATAGGAGCGTTTAATAATTTAATGGGCTTTCTGGATGTCGGTTGTGCTTTTTTTTTCTTTTGCAGGCTGCTTCAAGTGTGAAGAGGAAGGACATATGAGCCGGGACTCTCCCCATTTCAAGTATGTTTGTTTGTTTTCACATGCCATTTCTCTTTTGTTTTTTTCTAGAGTGAGTTACTTGGCAAGGGTCCTGTAACATCTTTTATGAAAAGTGTTTCCTCGAGCACTTTGCCATTCCTGGTATGGCAAAGTTCTGCTCCGATTGCTCGAAAATAATAATGCTGCTATATACTGCTTTTCACGAGACCGGAAAAAATTGTCTGAATCGATCGCAGGCCAAAACTTCGAAAGTGTCACCAAAACAAGAAACAAGTGTATTATATTACTACACTTTCATTTTCTTGATGAATACATGTGTTGCATAATTTTTTTGTATTACAGCTGCGCAAAAGCCACATTTCTTGCCCATGGCCACTTCAGTTACAATGAAACCCTCGCGTCTTGAGTCTTCACGTGCTCTGAACCAACCTATTCTGTACCAACAATTTCGTGGATAGCGACCACACTTTTTCGCAAGCTCGTGGCTGCTTCGGCTGTTCTCAAATGCTGTTATCACCGCTTTCCTGTATTTCGTGCTCGGTGTGCTTCGAGGATCGTCGAAATGAGCCGGGCTGTGAGCAAACATAATTGAATGACAGCGTCTGCTCTGTAATTTTTTGATGTACTTTCACCCGGCATCACGCCAAACCAACAAGCATACACAGCTACCGTGTGACGTCGACCCTGCTGCATTCCGTGTTGGCACAGATCTATGTTGTCGATGATGCATTCTGTGTTCACGCTGAGGCATTGCATTCGCACTTGTATATTCTATGAATCGTATTCCATGTGGACCCCGATACGTTCAGTTTTGACCGGGCTTTTTACTGCAGATGGCCTACTGTGGAGTCCACCATAGAGAATGAACAAAAACCGATTCGACTTTGAGCAAAGAAGAACCGTTGCGACTCTGAGCAAAGAAGCACCGATTCGACTGTGAGCAAAGAAGAACCGTTTCGACTTTGAGCAAAGAAGAGGTATGTTGGTAATAGTTGTGAGCTATCATTGCTTAAGACTCGCGGATGTTCGCAATCAGCATTGGCAGTGCCTGAGGGGAGTTTTTTCAGCACTGCCTAAAATATATATTCAGGGAAGTCGGGATATAACGAATCTCAAGGGGATGCTAAAAATCTTATGTTATTTTGAAAAATCATTCTAGTGAAAACTATAAATATTTTTGCAAGAACCGTAAATGGAACCAGTGCAGGTTTATTTAAGAAAGAGCGCGATCTATCCTGATTTGGCAGCTCGACTGCTGAAAAACGAACTCTTTAAGTATGAGGCCAGGTGACGAAAAGATTTTGTAAAAAGCACTAATCACTAGAAATAATTAGTTTGTTATATGAAATCTATCTTTCTAGGCACATGTTGGCTTTACAAAGCAATCAATAATTTGTTATTTTTAAGAAATAAATATTTAATTAAAAGTATGCCTTGTGTGAAAATTCCTATCTCAAGTTCTGCTTGTTGAAGTGTTTTCATTTTTTGCTAGCACATGTAAAAAGCTTTCGTCTGTGCAATGAACCAAAACAATTGAGATATATTTGTGTAATAGTAACAACCCAGTGTATAAATAACCAAAAATGTATGCAATATTATGTAACAGGCAGCCATTATAGAACTTGTGGATAGATTTTACTGATAGAGGTTCATTGCATACCTAAATATTAGATTAGGAAGTCTGCCGAGTTTCAATAAAAAATCTTAATGTAGCAAAACATCCACGACAGTTCGTGTACGAAAAAATACGCGAAATATAAGTTTAAGAAAAATCGACAAAAAAGATTTGAAACAGGTGCAGTGGTAAAACAAGTTACTGAAAAGGGCTTAAATTCTCAATACTTGTTGCCAGTTGCATCGTGGACCTTAATACTTGGTGCATTTTCTCTAGCGGCAACTCTAAAATTTCTTATCGAGCTTTTTTTGCAGCATTGGTGACATGATGGGGCTGCCTCACGCTACGGTGCTAATCGTTTGTGAGGCACGCTTTTTCAGTGTAGGAGCCAGGAGGGATCCTAATTTGCTTGAAAGTATCAATTGTGATTTCGTTGCAATAATTGAAATGACACCAATCGTCAAATGAAGCAAATTAGGCAGTCAACGGGTCGCATAAGTGTCCTTCATCATGAACAACAGATGTACCACTTTACGCCTTCTGCTAGTATGAAGTTTATGACTTTTATAATTGAAACCGATGTCTTACGATGTCACAAAACAGAGGCACAGGAGCATCGCTGCCTCGTCCAGGAACAAAACGAGCTGACACTGTGTCAAGCACAATGGCATCGCCTGAACGAATTAGTCGAAGTCGGACGAAGGGTGTTTCCCAGTCACAGCGTAAGTTAAATTTGATCATTTGTTGAGCTTTACTAAACTGTATGGTGACTGTGGGAAATTGTCAAAGCTACAACGTTTGTGACATTACAGGAAGGTGTGAAGCAGGGTTGCCTGCTTTTTTTAGCCAAGTGAAAGCATGTAATACAAGGTGTGTACTGTGCAGCAAGCAGCAGGTCTGGATCCCCCACATCTCGGCTGAGCTACGCTACCTACTCACACACGCATGGTACGGGATGGGTGCGCCGAAAATCTGGCATTCTCACGCCGTTGGGCACAAGCCGTGAGGCAAGCCCGACACAACCCACTGCAGCCACCCCGTCTATGACAGGAAGTGAGCGGCTTGTTCTTGTGCCTTGGGGTGGCAAATTTCGCACTTGCACTGAGCCTTGCTGTAGTAACACTTGACTGTGATGGGTGCTCCTAAACGACCTTACAGTATTTGAATATTGTGACAGTACTGGCATTAAACTGGTCCCTAACAAATACCCACACAATAATGTCAACTGAACTGGTACACAGTAGCCTTATTAAAGGACCGCAGACTGCTTTTAACAAGTATAAATGGTCTGCTTTTTTGTCCTTGAGACTGATTTAGATTATCATCTAGCACTTGTACTGTATGTGTAGCTTTCGTGGTCTGATCAACTTGTATGAACAGCATGTGTGCACCGAGAAATGCTCTTGGAGTTCTAGCCTCAACAGCCACTTGCTGTGGCAGCGCCGCCTTAGATACATTGACCATTGCATGCTAGCAATAGCGAGAAAAAAGATGAAATATAAGGGCTTGTTTTTCTTTGCGATAATGCAGTCGAATCTCTATAATTTCAACTCGAACGGGCCCAAAACTTGTTCAAATTAAAAGAAGTTTGAAATAATGAAAGCTAAATGAACGGAGGGCTCGCCATGGAGTGGCGCATGTGCATTTAGCTAACACATGAGGGGAAGTTTCAGAAGACTTACGTTTATTCACAAATCACAAAACATCCATCATTAACTGAAGTAATCGGTGATGCGCATCTGCACATGTTTTCCTTGCAGCAAGTCATTCAATTTCGCACGCCTTTCAAATCATTTCTACTTCGGCTCCAGCATTGTGCTGGCAAAAGGCGTTGCACGTGGGGGCAATGTCCAGCACTGACACTCTCTAAAAAATGACGACGACAGCATCTCCGCTATTACCCTCTGCACCGCAGCCGGAACGTGGCCAGCACGTGATGAGAAAGGAGAAGCTTCTCCACGCGGAGAGGAGCAGATCGGCATTTAAGAGAGAACAGCACTCCACGGCAGTGGTTTTTTTTGTTTTTTGTTTTTTTGTTTTTTGCTCTGTTCGCGCGAGTCGCTGAAAGAAGGGTCTATGTAGCAAAGATGGGAAAGGGGGAAGCGTGCCATCGCCGCGTGAGAGAGAGCCAACGCTCCATGACACTTTCCTTTTTTGAGAAGGGTCTTCACATGGCAGGGACGGAAAAGGGAGAAGTGTGGTACAGGTGCATCGCAGATCGGAATTTGAGAGAGAGCAAACGTTCCTCAACAGCCTTTTCTTTTTTTTTTATTTTCCGTTGTGCGCAGTGTTGACGTGTCGGAGTTGCCGCTGCGGGATTGAGCGAGGTGCTGAGAGCATTTTTTGGAGCGCGGTATGTTTGAATTGGGCGTGGCGATGGCGTAGTGGTTAGAGCATCCGCCTTGCATGCAAGAGGTCCGTGGTTCAAATCCCGGTACCGCGCAGTTTCCAACCGGATTAAAAAAAAATCTGCGTGTTGATGGAACTGCATTAAGAGGCCTGGGGTGCGGCCTCACCGGCAAACACCGCCGAGAACGCACTCCCTCACCAGGGAAGGATTGGCCACCCTGGTGCAGTATTTGGCCACTACCTCCCACATGCTTACGTCAAATAACTCACGGTCCTCAGTCCCCAGCAGCTGCGAAGCAACTGACCACGGCGGCGGTCAGATCTGCAACGCAGCAGAGGGTGCTAAGAATCTCTGGATCCGGACAGGCCGCCATTGGAACCTGAACTGGGCAACGTTTAACGCTAGAACCTTATCTAGTGAGGGAAGTCTAGCTGTACTATTCGAGGAGCTAGAGGGTGTTAAATGGGATATAATAGGGCTCAGTGAGGTTAGGAGGACAGATGAGGCCTATACGGTGCTACAGAATGGGCACGTTCTTTGCTACAGGGGCTTGCCTGACGGAAGAGAACTGGGAGTGGGGTTCCTAATTCACAGAAACATAGCTGGCAACACAGAGGAATACTATTGCATTAATGAAAGATTGGTAGGCATCGTATTTACAATGAACAAAAGATATAAGATGAGGGTGGTACAGTCTTACGCGCCTACATCCAGCCATGATGACGTTTCAGTTGAAAGCTTCTATGAAGACGTGGAATCGGCAATGAGTAAGGTAAAAACACAGTATACTGTAGTGATGGGCGACTTTAATGCAAAGGTAGGGAAGAAGCAGGCTGGAGACCAGGCAGTAGGAGATTATGGCATCGGTACTAGAAACGCCAGAGGAGAGCTACTAGTAGAATTCGCAGAACGCAATAATCTACGGATTTTGAATACCTTCTACCGAAAACGAGAAAACCGCAAGTGGACATGGAGGAGCCCTAATGGCGAAAATAAGAACGAAATAGACTTTATAATGAGTGCACACCCTGGAATCGTGCAGGATGTGGAAGTGATTGGCAAGGCACGATGCAGTGACCATAGAATGGTACGGTCTCGAATTCGCCTAGACTTGAAGAAGGAACGACAGAAACTGATACGCAAGAAGCCAATCAATCAGCTAGCACTGAGAGGGAAAGTACAGGAATTCAGAGTGTCGCTGCAGAACAGGTACTCGGCTCTTAGTGAGGAAACCAACCTTAGCGTAGATACAATGAATGATAATCTGACGAGTATCATTACGGAGTGTGCAGTGGAAGTTGGAGGCAGGCTAGTTAGACAGGACACTGGCAAGCTTTCCCAGGAAACGAAGAACCTAATTAAGAAGCATCAAATCATGAAAGTGTCAAGTACAACAGACAAAATAGAACTGGCAGAGCTTTCGAAGTTGATTTATAGACGTAAGGTATGCGATGTAAGAAGGTATAACACGGAGAGAATTGAACACGCTCTGAAGAACGGAGGAAGCATCAAAGCAGTGAAGAGGAAACTTGGGATAGGCAAAAATCGGATGTATGCACTAAGAGACAAAGAAGGCAAAATAACTACCAATATGGATAGGATAGTTAAAATAGTGGAGGAATTTTACAGACATCTGTACAGTAGCCGGGACAACCACGACTTTAATACCATAAGTACTAACAGTAACCCAGATAACACCCCACCAGTAATGATAGAAGTCACAAAAGCTTTGGAGAGTGTGCAAAGAGGCAAAGCTGCTGGTGAGGATCAGGTAACATCAGATCTGCTGAAAGATGGAGGACAGATTGTGTTAGAAAAACTAGCCACCCTGTTTACGAGGTGTCTCCTGACAAGAAGAGTACCAGAGTCTTGGAAGAACGCTAACATCATCTTAATACATAAGAAAGCAGATGACAAGGACTTGAAGAATTACAGGCCGATCAGCTTGCTCTCTGTAGTATACAAGCTATTTACAAAGGTAATTGCTAACAGAGTAAAGAAACCATTAGAATTCAATCAACCAAAGGAACAGGCAGGATTTCGAACAGGCTACTCAACAATTGACCACATTCATACTATCAATCAGGTAATAGAGAAATGCTCAGAGTATAACCAACCACTATACATAGCCTTCATAGATTACAAGAAGGCGTTTGATTCAGTAGAAATATCAGCCGTCATGCAAACACTGCGGAATCAGGGCATAGGTGAAGTATATATAAACATTCTGGAAGAAATCTACAGGGGATCAACTGCTACCATAGTGCTCCATAAAGAAAGCAACAGAATACCAATCAAGAAGGGTGTAAGGCAGGGGGACACAATTTCCCCAATGCTATTTGCAGCGTGCTTACAGGAGGTTTTCAGAAGCCTACAATGGGAACAGTTAGGGATAAGAGTCAATGGAGAATACCTTAGTAACCTGCGCTTCGCCGATGACATTGCATTGCTGAGTAACTCGGGGGACGAATTGCAACTAATGATTACGGAGTTAGACAAGGAGAGCAGAAAGGTGGGTCTTAAAATTAATCTGCAGACAACGAAGGTAATGTACAACAACCTCGGCAAGGAGCAGCGCTTCGAGATAGGTAATAGTGCACTTGAAGTTGTAAATGATTATGTCTACTTAGGGCAGGTAATAACCGCAGAGCCGAACCACGAGATTGAAGTAACTAGAAGAATAAGAATGGGGTGGAGCACATTCGGCAAGCACTATCAAATTATGACAGGTAGATTGCCACTATCCCTCAAGAGGAAGGTATATAACAGCTGTATCTTGCCGGTACTTAGCTACGGAGCAGAAACCTGGAGACTTACAAAGAGGGTTCAGCTTAAATTGAGGACGACGCGGCGAGCAATGGAAAGAAAAATGGTAGGTGTAACCTTAAGGGACAAGAAGAGAGCAGAGTGGATTAGGGAACAAACGGGGGTTAAGGATATCATAGCTGAAATCAAGAAGAAGAAATGGACATGGGCAGGGCATGTAGCGCGTAGACAGGATAACCGCTGGTCATTAAGGGTAACTGACTGGATTCCCAGAGAAAGGAAGCGGGTTAGGGGGAGACAGAAGGTTAGGTGGGCAGATGAGATTAAGAAGTTTGCGGGTATAAATTGGCAGCAGCAAGCACAGGACCGGGTTAACTGGCGGAACATGGGAGAGGCCTTTGTCCTGCAGTGGACGTAGTCAGGCTGATGATGATGATGATGATGTCTTACAAATGCTTTTAGGGCATTGTGATATGCTCGCACTCAATGTGATTGCTAAATAGCTAACTAAATACTACATATCAAGCAAATCTAATGATAAACACAAAACTGGCACTTTCAGTTTCGCCTTCGTAGGTGAGGGGTTTTTAACATTTTTGCTTGTTTCTTTCAAAAGAAACTGCGTAGGCGGAAACTTTATGCGGCGAAATGTTGGGCAATAAATTGGGCATTCAGCATGATAACCAAAAGCGGGAAAATGACATTTTGAGAAAAATATCGCTTTTTTCACTTGGCCTCGTACCTTAAGCTTGGGCATCCTTTTTAGACACTGCAAAGCATCAGCATTAAATGCCGATTCTTAGCGTTAGGTTGCACATGTTGTTTCAACGTGGTCTTTGTACTCGTTGCCGTTTCCTTATCACGACAAATAGTATGGATCGTATCGGTCGTCAGCTACGCTCGCGTGCATGCTTTGTCGTTGCATTGTGCGTAGTGT